ATATATATATATATATATATTAGTGCTGCGTACTGGTTCACTGGACTTGGGTCCGGACTTGTCAGAATGTTTAGGTTCAAGTCCAAAAAACCTAAAAGTCAAGAACCAAGTCCGGACTTATTACCATAAAAGACCATTTCACATACCCCTTTTCTTTCCAAACCACCTAAAACCTTCCGTACATTGCATAATCTTTGCTGCAAAATGAAGAAAACATTGCCATCAGGCATCTTCAAGTACCGGCCTCCACCCAGACAACATTGCAAGATTGCCAACATGCAATTTTGCATATGCCATGGGTTTAGGTCCGGACTTACAAGTTACTGAACCTAAACCTGTGGACTTGAATCCGGACCTGAATCTAAATGTGGGTTTAGGTATTATGCAACACTACTTGAGATGTAGAGTGTAGATTTTGCGGACCTGCGGGCTCTCGTGGATTTTCCCGACCAGATCCTGTGCGATCTCCAGCGCGGATTCCCCGTCCCGGATCTTGCGGTTGATCCCGGCCACCCACAGGGACGTGCACTCCGTCAGGTCAGGGGTCACCGTGCTCCACTGGACCGGGTTCCGCCCGCACCGCCAGGTCGCCACTCCTGGGGTAAAGGGCAAAGGTCAAGGTCATGTGAAGCTCAAGGTCAAAGGGTCAGGCTCAAGGCCAGACACATATTGCTTCTAAGAAAGAAGTCATTTTCTCAGATTTTTGACATTTTAAATGAAAAGCTAGCAACAAAACAAGATGAAAACTGAGGCAGTTTTCAATTTCCCATGTCACTCAATGTATTTTCTTTTGTAAATGTTGAAGTAAGGACTCCAGGACGACTATCATACATATTTTGTTTTACTAATAGAGAATCCTTAGTAACAAATAAAATCCTTAGTAGAGAAACAAGAACAGCTTAGGCAATTTTCAATTTCGTTTGCACTTTTTCTGTAAGTATTTGTAAAAACAGTATACATACTATATGTCACCGAATGGAGAATAAACAAACAAACAAACAACCCACCTCCGTCGGTGCCGGGTGGACAGGGCTGTTTGCTGACCTCCCCAGCAGGTGTACGCGGCCAGCTGATGTTGCGGGCGAACACGGGCGGACAGAACTGCTGCAGCGACGCCGGCGTTTCCACGGTCGTCATGGGAACCATCACCGTGGGTGACGGGACGGTCGGGGTGTCTGGTCTCTGCGGACGGGCGGTCACGGCGGCACCGGGGGTCCCGGGACGGACAGGCGGCTTCCGGGTGGACACCGGCCTCTGGGGGGGCTCAGGTCTGGGGGTGGGGGGGACAAGAAAAATTATATTACGATCCTACAATTCATAATGTTTACGTTTGCAGAAGGAAAACGTATTGTTTTTGCCACTTTCTTCTTCTTCTTCTCCAAACAAAAAAAGGTCAGTGACCAGATGGCTGTCACCATGGTTACAGGTGCTGTAGCAGACACCCTGTGGTGTTGGGTTACATTATGTAGCAAGACAGAGCTGAAGATGCTGCTCACCATATATGTACATGTACATATGAATGCATTTGACTTTGTAAGAATGAACAGAGCAGTAGTTCGTTGGGCTAGACCAGGTGGATGTAAACATCATGCATTTGCTTTGCAATGGTTACTTTTCTAGTTCATTTCACTGGTTTCAGAGATGGCACACACACACACCTGGGCGTATCCTGTACAAGGATTCCAACCCTTGCACACCGGTTATCATTTCAAAAGACAAAACAGGAAGTACTGTCTAGCAACAGATGTAAGGATGGCAGCCATGCTTGAAGAGGAAATATTTAGAGATCAGATTTGGCAGATGTTGGACAGACACACACGGTGGTCAGTGGCCTTACATCTGTTCTGTTTACACAGGTGGGGCAAGACATGCTGATGTGACAAGTCTGTAGCAGAAATGTCACAGATGTGATTGACTTGTGGCAGAAATGTTAGGGCTGTGACAGGCTTGTAGCAGAATTGTCACAGTTGTGATAGACTTGTAGCTGAACTGTCCCAGATGCAACAGATTTGTAGCAGATCTATCACAGTCAGAATGTGACAGATGTTCCCCAGACCTGTCCCTGGTGACAGGTGACACATCTGTACACACACACACCTGTCACGCCTGTCATACAGGTACAGGTTATCTCACAAACAGGTCTGTCAACACACACAGCCTGGTTAAACAACATGGGCAAAAACCTGTTTTTGATTATCAGTAATTTTAACTGCTTTTCTTCGTGTAAATTTCCAATAATTTTGATAGACAAAATGTTTATGTTTCTTGTTTATGTACCAAACACTCTGATCTTAATCAAACTTTCTAGTTCTACTGAGGTCTTGTTTCTTTGGTTTTAACACTTTAGGGTGAAAATTCAGCAAGAGAACAAGATGGGACTGGAGCAAAACTTGAACCGTAATTTGTATTTTTGTCCTGAAACTGTCTGTACTATGGTGCAAGCTTTCCCCTCAGACTCTTTTCTTGTAGAAATCTCACATCAGCTTTATCTTTGAAATCTGGGAACCAAAATACTTGTTCAACCTCAGGGCTCTAGCCAGCTCAGTTTTTTTCCCACCAGCCCAGGTTTATGATCGTAACTGGGAGAAGAGTGCTCACAATCTTGGGGGGTGGGGGGGGGGTCCAGGGCCAAATTTTATACTGTATTATCAAGCCTTTAAAAACACAATTTCCCACATTTTGAGAGGCAAATCATGAGGCTGATAGTGGTTGTTGTTGTTGGTTCTTTGGATGTTATTCCTTTTTACCCAAGATTTTTGTCTATCAAGGTGCTGGCTAGAGCCCTGTTCAGCCTATAGAGTTGAGCCCCAAGCAACTGAAGAGACAGACAGAATTCTGTGCCAGCTCACCTGTCAGCAGTAGTCGGCTGCAATACAGGAGACGGGGTTGTTTTCAGACCTTCCTTGTCGGGATCCACGGTCGGGATATCAGGTGACGCGGGGTGGGAGGGCGGGGGTTCTGTCGGCACTGCGAAAATATCAACGTTTACTGCACCTGTCGGCATGGCAACTCGGCGGGGGTTAGTACGAGAGTCGAGAAAAGTGGAGAGACGAGAAAAATTATGTTTGTAGAAGTGATTGTGAGAGAGAAAGATAAGAGAGTTTTTTGCTACTGCAGTGATTTTGCTGATCGTAATCACACATTGGTTGGCTTTTCTACTGCTACAATAGGACTATGTGATGTTATAATACAACACAGCTAGTCTGGATTCACTTACATTGTTACTACACAAGGCTAGAATCATGGTTAAAATCATGTTAAGAATTTCATGACTACGTGATACAGGACTACACTAGCAAGCAACATGCTCACATGATTAGCATTACATGTACACAGAGCAGGATGGAGGTTTGCCCATTCAACAAGTCATAGGTTTTTTTCTTTCTTTTTCTCTGTGAAGAAAATCAAGGTAAATTTTCCAAGAATTGACACTTTTAACTTTGAAAATTCGAATCCTTTACTGAGGATCTCCTCAGTATTGAACAATACAAAAATAACTGTGCCTGAACAAAAAAACTTTTGGAATGATAATTTTAAAAACATCAAAATCAAAAAAGTATAGCCCTGGGACTGTTTTGAATGGACAAACTTCTTCCACTTTCTGTTGTGATTTTCAGTAATCAATGTTTTTGCATTTTTCAGATCATTTCTTTTCTAATCACTGATGTCTTGGTTAGACTTCCTAGAACTAGGTGTTCTTCGCTAAACTCACACCGAATTTCCTTGGTTCAAAGATGTATCTAAGGAAAAACTCAGACAAGTCTTACCAGTCAAAATGAAAACAGGGCTAGGAGAAATATATTCTCTCCCTGTGTACCAAGGTATGGTTTTTCTGAAGTTGATTTCCAGTTTAGCATTTTTATACAAAGAACCAAGAAGACACTTAAGTGTGCCCTTTCTCAGAAGAACACCTGTGTCTAAGCAGTTATCTGGTGGTTAGTCACATCGTCAGACAGGTGTGTTAGCAGCAGAGGAACGGACGGACAGACGGACGGACACACACGCAGACATGGCGGTTGGTTGGTTGTTGGTGGTGGAATGGACGAGACTACAGACCAGTGGACAGACTACATGGAGTGACGATGGGATTTTGTTTGGGTAGTACCATGAACTTTCCCAATGATCCCATGGAGCATGTACAGATTTTGGTTGGGTGGTACCATGAACTTTCCCAATGATCCCATGGAGCATGTACAGATTTTGGTTGGGTGGTACCATGAACTTTCCCAATGATCCCATGGAGCATGTACTGACTTTGGTTGGGTGGTACCGTGAACTTTCCCAATGATCCCATGGAGCATTATGCATATTGCTGACTTTCCACTTAAGTTTACGATCTATGATTATCATGATCTATTTGTTCACAATGGATAACCAACTTTTTAGAAAGAAATGTAAACCTAACACATTACAGTACTGCATATGGCTATGTTACATTGTACAATCTTGGACAGTACCCTTCAAAAAAACTTCAAGATAAACAACTCAGGTTACCTGTAAATTATGTTCTTTCTAAATGTATCTGTAACTATTCGACATACATTTGTACCTACTGATACCTACTACATGGATATGTCTTACAATGTTGAAACCAAGAATACCTCTACAAGATCCCACTTTCCAAACACGATACTGCATATAACTGTATGAACCGGACATCTTCAAGGTCACAACACTGATTTTTCAAGGTCGTATGCACATACTAGTATTACAAAGGAATATAGAACACATGTTTGTCCCTGGTCCATACCAGGGGGTCCATTTTGGAGACAGTGGAGGTAGAAATGAAGAAATGTGGATGCTGGCAGAGAATTTGGTGTGTGGACAGTGATAAACTTTTTTCTGTCAAAGAAAGACTGATTTTTTTTTGGTTTTGCCCTTTAAATGAACCTCCTGGTTTACATTACATTGAAGACCACCTTTTATCTTACATTCAAGAATTGCGTATCTTCCTTCAGTGGTTCCCTGAACCTTTACTTGGCCTGGTGGTCTCTGTTTAAAGTTACCCCCACACAACAACCCTTTCTGTTGCAATAGACTAGATTCTTGAAAGTTGTAGTTTTGTAGAGTGGGAAAAAAAATTCCAAAATTTGAGACTAAAGAAGCATGGCAGTAGGGGATTTTGTTTTATGGCCACCATGCCAGGTAAACAGAAGAAAACCACTTTCTATGCCTGGACATTTTTACATTTACATTTACATTTCTTCATGACAAATACTAGTTAACAGTAACTGCACAAAACATAGTACACACCCCAGTAAGGCATCCAAACATAACTGACGAACAACATTCAAACAAATGTACAAACAAAAATAAAAAGAACAATCGTGAAAATGGCACAAAATGAAGCAAATGTAGCATATTCTGTGTCAGGCATGATATTATAACATGACAACATTCCCTGTCAAAACTTATGTAATATTTTCAAGCAGTAAGGTTTCCATAGAAACTACTGCCATGGCAACACTTCAGCAGAACTGTGAAATGGCCACAGTTAGCAAACGGAAGCAACGGAAAATGGAACGAAAGTGGCAAAAACAAAACGGAAATGTTACAAAAACTGCATAACGAAAAATGGCGACATCACTTTAGTAATGCAGCAGCAACTAAAAATTGAGCCGTGACCATGCATAACATGTTGGTAATCCTGCAACAACTCACTAAGTATGGAAACAATGGCTTATTGTTCAGGCATTGGGGTGGGAGGGGGGTGGTACTATGGCATGCTTAAACTATTTTAATACAAAATTTGGCAAGCACTCAATACAGACCATAATCACAGTCCCTAGACAATGTCAAAATGGAAAGAAATTTTTTTTTTCAAACTAATCAAAGAAAAGCCAAAATGGTTGCTGAGATACAGCTTTTGAACATTCAAAGGTCTGCCTTTTGTGTGTGATTTTTCAGCAGTATCTAAGAGAATGACTATACTAATGGTAATGTTAAGTCTATCCTGTCTCTAAGCCAGTTATGTTAGTCTAACTACAGGGGTTTGAAACCCTGTAAGAGGCAGGAGAAGGGAGAGAGGTAAAACTGCTGGTTTGGAGGTTAGCAGAACTCAGGCTCAGCCAAGCAACTTAAAAGGAGGGGAGTCATTAGGAAAGGTGGTTAGGGAAATGTCGAAAAAAGATTCTATAATAGAGAAACTGTTAGAAATATATTTCTGAGAGAGACAACACTTGTTTGCTCAAAATTTTGATTTCATCGTGTTTGGCATCTACAAATTACAACTGACCAAACATTAAGAATTCATACGGTTAGAAAAATACTTTGTGCTTCTCTGAGGACTAAATGTCCAACAAGTTTTTCCTGCAATTTCTTCATTTATTTTAAATTATTGGGGTCAAGTGTTGTCTCCAAGCAGAAAATATTCAAAGGCATGGAGGGGCATGCAATTATCATATTTACGTATCACACGATAATTTTTCATTACAACATCATACTTATAAGCTTTACACACATTCTTTGCTTAACGAGCAAGTGAAAAAATACAGTCAACGTGCTTTTTAAGTTTGCCACCAAAGCATTATTAAACTTTATGTATGCTTTTCAGCAGTTACAAATATATCCTTAAACCCCATGCAGGCTTGTCAGCCAATGGACTTTATATTATGGTGCATTAATTAATTAGCGCACATTCGTTAAAAGACGACACCGTTACCCCGTGTGTTGGACCCAGTCCAAGCTTCACCCGACCGACTTACCGGTGCTGAACGTTAACAGGTAGGTGAGGAGGTAACCGTTGTCCCAGACGTAGAGCGCGTTGTCGCGCGGGTTGTAGTCCACCTGCGTGTTGTATCCGTACCGGTTGTAGAACGGAAGGTTCAGGTTTTCCGCGTCGCCCGTTGTCGTGTCGAACGTGTACACAAGCTTCCCACCAGTGTCGACCGGTTGGACGTACCGCGTGCTTACAACGTAGAGCTTCCCGCAGAGCATGAAGGTGTTCGTGGCAGCGCGTTTGTTGTAGTTCGTTTCCCAGGTTTTCTCGACCGTGAGCGAATCCGGGTCAAGTTTCGCGATCACCATTCTCCCCTCGCTCTCTTCGGTCGCATAGATCGCCCACAGCCCATTTTCGTCCACCGCTAAATCGATATCCGACATCCCTCCGAAGCGATACGGAGCCTCGTTGTGATACCTCGCGCCCGGTATCTCCTTCTGCAGGTCTCTGTTCAACGTCGACAGGTTGAATTTGATGATGCTCGGCGAGCGTTCCTTGTTGTAATACGCGGCTCCGTCGTACACGACGAAACCTGTCCCGTCGACTTTATCGGGCAGGGCGATCGTACGCGAAGGCTTCAAGTCCTCCAGATCGTCCAGATCGGCGTACTCATCCACGCTTATAGTGTTAAACGGTCGCCAGGGCATGACGTAGATTTTCCCCTTCCCCACGCCCGGGACGGGATCTCGGTACCAGCTCCCGATCTTGGTCCCCATCTGGGTGTGAGTCTCCGGCGCGCCGACCGACTCCAGCGTACCCGGACACTCAAAAACTAACATGGGTGACCGTCGAAGAGATGCATTTGTCACGTATAGTTACAGTTACTAAGAGAATTCTTACAGCAGTGACAAGTTTTTGAAGCACAGGACTACATGTAGGCCTCTCCGTGAACAACATGGACTGACAGTCATCGAAAACTCTTACCCTTCAAAAACTTGTCACTGCTGAAAGAATTCTCTAGTAACCCTAACATGGGTGAATTACACAACACAACAAGAAGGACTGCCTCTGAAGTTCTGGGGCTCTCCCCAAGCAATGAAGCAAGGTGCTCCCTCTTCCCAAAATCCTAGCTCCCCTCCCAAAATGTTCAAATTTAGAGTTTTCTCTTAGTATTTTCATGAAAAGTCGCCAATTTTGATCAAGTGATTAGGGAGCACCTCTTCCCTCAGAATTTCTGGGGAGACCCCTAAGTTCTAACCCTACTTCTCATCTTAGAACATTAAAGAACCATTTTTACAAGCTGTTACATCTTAGAATACATCCTTGAAACCCTAACTCTAGTCTAAGACATCTGCAAATCTTCCCAGTTGCCACCTACTTGCCCACCAAGTTACATCTTGACTTTTGTCTTCTCGCAGCTCAGAAAAGTTATCCACAAGTTATTTCTGGTAACTTTACTTAGTAAGAAGTTAGTCTCACACGCAGACCCTTCTGGCTAAAAGTCTTAGTCGCAGAATGCTTGGATGGATTGGAAAATAACAGCCTGGACTTTCTACCTTGTATATCTGGTAAAAGATAATTGAGAAACATCCGACTGTGGATTACGTTGCAATGTGGTACTTTGGGGTTTCACTTAACTGTCAAATTTAACAGATTTTTGGTAACTAGCTGTGAAGAATCATATCCAGTTCCTTTTTGGCGTATCTTACTACCTTTTGTACCTGGGTGTCTAACCTTCATCGACGTAGCTGTGAAGAACATGTATTTTTCCAGGCAGAAAAATTACAGAATTTCCAATGAATCCAAGCACGATTGCAGGTTTATTTTTACAGTGAGTTTGGTGAATGTTTAGACTTTATAAGATTAGTTCACTCCAAACCACAGCTGCAGAAAGCTTGACTGTCTACTCTAGATGATGTAAGGGTCGGTTACGTTAGACGTTCTGCCCCATGCGATGGTAACATGTCAGGAAATGGAGTGAGTGAATCGTGCAAGCAAGGAGAGAGAGGAAAGGTTCGGGCACCCAGTGCATGATGGGTAACCCGGAGGCATGATGGGAAGGGTACTCACAGCTGGACACACAACGAAAGAACACTTCGAGGTACTTGTAGGTGTCGGGGCAGGGGTCTTCTCCGAATACCCCGTCCAGGGCGGGGACGACACACTGCGAGCGGTTGTTACATCTACGGCACAACGACAGGACCGGAAAATTCGAAAACATGACTGATGGGTGCAGTACCGGGCCAAGCAGCCAGGGGGCATGCATGCATGGTGTGTGTGTTTGTGAGCACGTCGGCAGAACGTACTGCGCCTGCGCAGAACCCTGTATTTTCACGTTTTTCGGTGGATTTTTGGTCAACGTTGCATTAGAATTTTGTCTGTTGCAGAGGGTATCTTTTCTAACATAACATTTGGAAGCTACAGAAGAGATGTTTTCCTTATATGCGCGAATACTACCTTTTATGAGACATTCTGCCAAAGAGCTATGTACAATACATTACGGGTTTCGCGCAGGTAGAGTACGTTCTGCCGACATGCTGTGTGTGTGTTTGCAGGACACGACAGCGTAGACCGGAGGTAGGTTTATGTACGACTGACTACTGTTGTTCCTACTCACTGTGGGTGAGACATTTAAAATGGACCTCCAGGAATTTGTACGTTTTGGGGCAGGGGTCGCCGCCGAAGGTCGCGTCGAGCGCGCCGACCTTGCAGCTGGAGTGGCTGTTGCATCTACAGACAGAGAGAACACGGGTCAGTACAAAGGTCAAGGTCAAGTCAAGGTCAGTCACATTCCTCGTACAACAACAGGATTCCCAGAACCAGCAAGGATATTCCACAAATTCTTCTGTCACAAAGTGACTGAATTTCGTACAGAATTTACTATCGAACAGAATTTACAGAATTTACTATTGGAACGTTTTAACTGTTCCAAGAGCATCCCCAAGTTACTACGGAAATCCTGTCTTATGAAAAGTGCGACGAACCTTTAGTCACATCCTGTGATAAGTACATGTTTATCCGTGGTGTCTACAAGCAGAGTTTGTAAATACTTGTACAGCTGACTGGACAGGCTTGACTCATGCACTTCTGGCATGTCTCGGTACATAAACACACACACAGGCATTCCAGCTAGCAGCTTCCTTATGTTCTCCAACACAAACTTAGCCTAAGTCACTATACTGCTATAACATTGTATCTACTTTCTTTGGTTTGGCTGCATTTTTTTTTTTGCTGCCTAGCTACAATGTTTTCTACATAAACACGCAGGCATTCCATATTGTCCAGTAGCTTTCTTTGTCTCAAACACCACTTTTTTTAGGAAAACAGTTCTCTAAAACTTACAAGTTAAATGAACCTACTATCTTTGGTTGGTCTAAATTCAATTTTTGCTGCCTAAATGCATTTTTTGTACATTAACAAGCTGGCATTCCAGCTAGCAGGTTCCTTATGTTCTAAAACACAGACATAACTCCATTTTTTAGGAAATTAAAACAGTTCTCTAAAACTTACAAGTTAAACAAACCTGGCTAAAATCACCATACTGTATTTCCTTTCTTTGGTTTGGTCTAACTACAATTTTTTGGTTCCCTAGCTACAATTTTGATGCGAAACTACAATTTTCGGTACATACATTCCATCCAGCAGGTTCCTTGACTCAAACACAAAATTTACTCTCTACACCACAAAATTAAAATAGTTCTCTAAGAATCTCAAGTTACACAAAATACTGTATTTTCTTTAGTTCCACTTGTTCGAAAAAGTGCAATTTTCACCTTTCTTTAACCCCTCTGTTTCCTAAGTTAATATGACTTACCGGTAACTAAATATTCTTGCACAAACTGTCACTCAATAGTTAAGAGTTAGCAAAAGGGAGCCAAAACTGAAAAAGTATCATCCAGACACAAATGTCCGAGCAATCTTTGCAGGGTTGACAGAAAATGTACGACACAAGCTAGCAAAAAAAAACGGGATGACGGGTAACAATCTCAGCAAAACTGCCAAACTCTGTTTCTGAAAAATGGAAACAACTGATGAATGCAACAAAAAACACATGCACTTATAAGGATATCCTGTATTCTTGCCAGACAAATGTATATATATGTTGCTTTGTCACATGCAAAGGTGACAAACTACACACAAGCCACTGCAGGAAAAATAACGTTAGCTCAAACACATGCATGACACAGTATTCCACTGCATACAAAGTACAGTATTCAACATCTATCTGTCTAATGCTACTTGAAAGCATCAAATTTTAGCAATTCTAATTACATTTTTGACATCTACCACAAAGACTAGAACTTGAAGCATTACAACAACTACTGTACATATACCTCAATCAGCAGACAGTCCTAGGCTAGCTACTACTACTAGCAAAAGGGCTCAATAATAAGATACAATTCATGCATAAGACACATTCTTGATATATCCCCAGAAAACGTACCTGTCCGCCATAGTTTTAAGCGAGTCCGGGTGCCTACAGTTGGTGTTGCGCATGCGGCGTGGGTTGCGTGCGCAGGTCAGGTTGTCCGTGCGCCCGTAGTTTGCTCCCTCGATGTAGATGACGCGGTGGCTCGGGCAGCGCAGGTTGATCACCAGACCCTCGCACGCGATCTCACGATTCGTCGCCGTCGGGAAGCCAATCGGATGCACCGCAGCTGTGGTTGTCATGACAATAGAACACCGCGTTACTCGATCCTCAGGAGCCATTTTGAAACACAAGGAGCCTATATATGGGCTATGATGATGTTTGGTGTTTGGCCTAGTGTTGATAATTCAAATCTTCCTCAGGTAGATGAAAAAGCATTGAAACATTTCCAGTTCTTATATATAGGTCATAATCACGATGTATTCACTCGTATACAGATTATCAATCAAGGCAAGAACTCAAAACACAGAGGATCTGCCAAAATAGCATGCAGAAATTCAGGACTGAGTTATGCAATGAAGCTGTCTACAATGGATACCAACCAAAGAAGGCCAGTATATGATTATATTAAACACAAAGCAAGTAGAAATTCAGAAATGATCCACTAGACTACACCATGAATGTCGAACATACAAACGAGGTCAGCAGATAAAACATACAGGATTTGCCCCAAAAAATCTAACAGAAGTTCAAAACTGCTGTGTTAGTGTTACACAGTTTATCATGAAAACCAAAAAAACAAAAACAAACAAACAAACGCCTTGTCCTTACTCTCGTTGCCGAGGCTGAGTCCCATCAACAGCAGGACGAAGGTCGACAGCAGCAGCTTCGCCGGCACCTGGGGCGTCTCCATGGTGATGACCTACGACCTCACATGGAAATACAGTCTGCAACGGGAGGAACAAGCTTCAGTAAGGGTGGACAACATCAAACAACACGCTGAACTTAACATGCAACTAACGTGCAAGAAGAAGACAGATATATATAGCAAGCTACAATACTAGTAATACATTTTATTACAGATGAAATTGACTGCATCAGTGCACATGTGTCTATGTATATGTTACGACTTAAATATGACAGAGATGGCAGACTTCAGCATCTTACCCTCACTGCTTTGTGACCTCAAGTCCCACAGATTAAAGCACTGAAGATATATAGCTGTATACAGTATATACGGAACGTAATTGTATTGTGAATATTGGGAATAACGGAAATATGCACAAACATAAACATACACATACACACACACACACATACACTCACTCACATACACACATACATACACATACACTCACTCACATGCACACATACACACACACACATACACTCACACACACACTCACACACACACACACACACACACACACACACACACACACACACACACACACACACACACACACACACACACACA